GCACTTCTGCAGTTACAGTTTACCTTCTTGGAATTTGGTTCCGTTTTTCACGGGGCTCAGTTTCCAGGACCTGGCCCCTCCTTAGGGGAGGAGGGCCAGTCTAACCTGACCGGTGACCTGTGGATACACTGACTCGATAAATTTTCACCCTGTCACAAACATGCAAATATATACATCATCATCACCTTTGCTTACTGGCCTTACATCCATGTTCTGTGACGACTCTTCCCCTTTACACCCTCGAGGACTGGAAACGCTTGTCATTTCCCTTAGAGATCTACCAGGGGACACTCGGCAGTCATATCCCATTCCTGGGTTACTGGTAAGCACCGCACGTGCTTAGGATCCCTGAAGCCATGGAGAGAGCATAAGGAATAAGGTTATTATGATTCACAGGCATATTTCCATACAGGTGTCTTAAACCAGCAAAATAGTTTATTTGCTGTAAGTAGTCATTTACATGGCATTAAAATAGACTTTAACCATTTCCCATCCATTAGAAAAATGTAATTTTGAAAAAAATTACTTTCTAATCTAAGGTATTCAGTGAGTTTCCAAAATATTTTTGTTTGATGACATCATCTGGCAGTCAGTATGTGATCACATAAAAATACGCCTAGTTAATTTATAAATATAGCAAAATTGTAACATTAAGAGTTTTGGGGTATATTTTCAAACTGATTCTTAAAAAGAGTTATTTTGGCTATTTATTTACTTATTTATTAGCAATGTGGAAGTTGTAATAACAGAAATGTAAGCTTTCAATTATATTTTTGAAAGCCATTCATTTTCTGTCAATCTCTTCTTAATTCTTGCTTATGTTCAGTGATCCACTATGTGCAGCGCAAAGTCCTACAAAAGCGAGGCCAATTCTCTGGGGTTAGCCATCACTTCCAGTGGATCATACTGATGAGACTTGACATTGTGGCCAGCAGCCCTGGCTGCCATTGGCAGAGAGAGCCTTGATGATCGAATGTCCTTCAAAGGCACTGAACAAATTAAGCTACACATCAGGGATATTATTGCTTTCATACCGATTTGGTGATGCTCAGGAGCCAAATGCATTTTACATTTTTCAATTCCCACATTTATATGATGAAAGTTATAAAAATATGAAGAAGAATATATATGCAGTGCCCTTGACTTTATGTGATAGCACTTCAAAAAGTTTATGAGAAAACAAGATAAGCTAATATTAATTAAAAACTTTTAAAAAAAATCAAAGTATACTTTTTCATAATTCTCATTTGTCATGATATTTTTGAGGCTCCTCACATTACCATTTAAATGGAAAGTAATAAAAATAATTAGAGAAAGGTAGCTTAGTGGTTAATAAAATTTCTTCTGCTATTTAAAAAGAGAAAAATTCAGTAAATTGTTTACAAAATGTCCCTCAATAAAGCTGTAGTAATATGAAAGAAAAGCAAAAATGCACAATATGATCAGGGAGGAAGGCAGCAAGAAAGAAAGAAAGAAATAAGGAAAATAGTTTTACCTGAGGAACTTTTGGGAAATAGTATTAAGAATATTACAGTTATGTGTTTTGAACTAATAGAAATGCTGAGAGACTCAATGGAGAATTGAACTGGAGGTACAAAGAGAAAATATGAAGAAAAAGGAGAATTATTCAAAGGAAAAAAGCTAAAACAAGGAGTTAAAGCTGAAATAGTAATTTGAGGAGGTTATCAAACATATTTTCTTAGCACCTTTGTACTATTTACTAAACTGGAACTACAAAGAGTATGGGACAACTTTGGAAATCTCAACTGTTCCTATCATTTTAATACCTTGGAATGACAGGGGGAAAGGAAGCATTATGCAAAGAAAAAGAGAAAATGATGTGAAAATGTGGGTGTTGCAGTTCTGGAATTTTTAGAAAAATGTTTTTCCAAGAGCTTACAGCGCCCTGAGCAAAACATTGAAAGATAAGGTCAGGCGGTAAGTTCTCCATAAGCAGAAACACATGTTTGCAGTTAGGCTCATTCCAATGAAGCAGCAATATTTTTGAGAGACAGTGAGTGTTGGTAAGCCCCAGAATCCAAGAGTAGAGTACTAGCCAGCTCCTAATTCTGACAAACTTGCAAAATGCTGCCTCTTCCATCACGCTCCTAATTAGTGAGTAGACGTCTTGAAACGCCGTGATCATTGGATTTAATTGTCAGACAGTGCAGTCTATAGTTCCTCCATATGTTCCTACAAAAAGAAAAGTGAACAGTTGTGCCAACATAGCAACTATAGTTTTGATGATCATAGCTAATTGGGTAACTAGGAATGATTCAGTCTGTTGCTTATTCAGTCAGGACATCATCATGACCACATTCTCCGCTATCCCAGGAGCATATTTCTCTGCTCTCTGAAAAATTTTAGTGTGTAAATTAAATGAGTGAACAAAGTTTAAATTTTAAATTATAAATTTTACAAATTAATTTAATTTATAAACTATAAATTTTTATTTATTTTTTTGTTTGTTTATTCAGTCATTCATTCATTCCTTCCATCATTCATTTATTTGAAAATGATGGTCACACGAACAGAGAAGGATCTCTTGCCCAGTGGTTCAGGCCTGAATAGCCGGAAAGCACAGGTTGGATTTAGGAGCCCTGACTCCCGTTCTGATTTCCCACATGGAAGGCAAGGTTAAAAAGACAACAAGTGTCTTCCAGTGTTTCCCAGGGAAATTAGTAAGGAGTAACATCAGATGGGGAAAACTTGGTTCTCGAACTAGCATCCCACAGAAGGGATGTCAGAACTGCAGGAAGAGGCTCAACTTCCTGTGCCACAATGCCACCCCATGATTTTTAACACCTAAATGGAAGAAACGTAATTAAGAGCAATAATGAAAAATGACCATACAACTTACCGAGGAGACCAGAAACAGGAAGATACGTTAATTTTTCATTGGATTTGAAATGCAGGGAAGGGGAGTTGTAGAGAGACATGTAGACAGAGAAACAAGACAAAGAGGGAGATTCTACCTGCTGGCTCACTCTCCAAATGCCTGAACTATCCAGGCTTACCTCTTCATTTAGCATAACATGAAGCTGAGCTGTAAGCGGGAAGTTACCTTTCTAAAGTCACTCAGCTTAGAAATAAAAGACTCAGGTTGATGCCAGGGCTCATACCCTTGATCACTACACATTGTGACAACTGCTTCATGGTTGCTATTGTATTTGCATCCAAAACACACAGGCTGAAGATGTAAGTCGCTCTTTATTACGCTCGGGTTTCTTCAAAAGCACACCTTGTCTGAACCACAGGACGGAAAAGGGGTGCTCAGACATGGACCAGTTAGTGCAGCAGGTGTTTTAGTGTATCATTCCAGTTTCTTGACTGCACCTTATCTGGAGGCAGCCATTTTCTTTAAGCATAAGTCAACACGTGTTTACTAAGAACTTATTCTTGTCCCAAGAAAATGAAGAAGCCCTGAAGATTTAAATGCTACAAATACCCCTGGAAAACTTGAGACGTTTTCAGTGCCTCTTTGATAGTAAAGAGACTGTTTGGGAATATGCTGCTGACCTCCTGGAATTCACTATTTCACCTTAAAAAAATGATGCAGCCAAACCCATCTTAATATAATCATATCTGAGTTGTTTTTTTTTTTCCCATTTAAGAGTCACATTCATAGGTTTGGAGCAAATGTCCTAAGACTTTAGGGAGGTATATTTTCTGTTTCACAAAAATTATCATACACTTAACTTACATTGAAAATACAGATTTCTGTAGAGCAATACATTTAATAAGAGGGAGAGGCGCTGTTTTTCTAAAATAAATTACTTTTAGGTCCTCTTCCTTAAATGTGTTAGAAGGAAGTACCACTCTCCAAGTGTTCTTCATTGGTGCGGGAAGATATTACTCCACAAAATATGTAAAGTAAATATGTCTAAAGGTATCTAATTGTTTCATTTGAAAGATAGGGTGATTGAAAAAGAGAGGTATCCCTCATCTGTCGATTCATTCCCGAAATGCCTCCAATACCTGGGGTTAGATGGGGTAGAAACCGGAAGTAGAGAATCCAGTCTGGGTTGTTTTCATGGGGAGAAGGAACCTCAGCGTGTTAGCTGCCACCTGCTGCCTCCCAGTGTGCACAGCAGCAGGATGCTGGGAGCAAGGGAACTGCTGGGTTCAGACCCAGCCTTTGATGCGGCACGTGGGAGCCTGTTGTACCATCTTCACCGCCAGGACAAACAGCTAGCCACAACCATGTTTTTAATCACCTCTTTTTCTCTCACTCATTCTCTCCTTGCTGTTTCTACTTTTTCCCAGCTCATCTCTTTTCACACCACTAAGTCTCCTCTGCTTATTAGTAACAGCAAATGTATGATGACAAATAAAGTACCTAGTTCAGAAAATATTTTTTTTCTGAGTCTTAAATAGAAAGTGCTCATGCAATCAGAAAAATATTTAAAATATCCAGAGGATTGCTCCAGGGAGGTAAAACATTTTTTTTCCCCCAGGAGAAATAAGCTTGTGGCTTAAACTAAACGAACGGCCAGAATTTGAGATGGGTTGGCTGGTTTCTCAATTGCCTTTAGGGCATAATGCAGTGTGCTGGTCATTGGGAGGCAGCTCACAGGGACCTTGTTGCTCTCCTTGCAGGGTGCTCTGGCAGAGTTCCCTGAGCTGTATGTAACCTTGTTGGATGTTGCATTCAAGATTGTTAAACCACAGAAGACAGTCTGTGGGAAGCAATGTTCTCTACGCGTGTGGGCCTAATGGCTTCTCCTTATCAGTTGCTACAGCATTGACATCAACATTCAAGAGCATTAGGCAATGGTTTATAAGGGTTTACATATACATTAATACGTATATACAATGAAGTATGTGCATTTCTATGCAGTATTCAGAAAACAATTTAACAATGAGCATAAATGTGATCTCATGTAATCTTAGAGAAAGCATATATTTTAAACATCCATTGATCTATGCAGGCTGCAGTTGAGGGATTCCTGCAGTAGCTGTAGGGGCCAGGAGAGTGGGCCCTGGCCATTTTAGCAGCTTCAGGCCAGCTTGGAGGACTCTCCTGCTCTGTCATAAGCAGGTAGGCCAAACATCTGGGGCTGGAAATCTTTCAGGGAGCTCAGCACCAGGGTGGCCCTTCTTGTCAGGTCTTGGCTTATGTTTCTATCAGGAACCATGACCACCTGCATTCCAGCCGCCAGGGCTGCCTCCACCCCGTTGGGAGCATCTTCAAAGACAAGGCACCTTTCCATGGGAGGAGCAGGTACAAACCTCCTGGCACAGATAAGGAAGATGTCAGGCTCTGGCTTGCCCTTCTTCAGCTCGGGATCATCCCCCAGGACGATGTGGTGAAACAGACTGAAGAATTCCTTGTGTCTGCTTGTCTTCATCTCGAAGGACACCGTCCCGGAGCTAGTGGCAACCGCAGAGGGGATGCTGTGGTTTCGCAGGTGGTGGATCAGCCTTGCAGCCCCTGGCATCAGCGCGGCAGTGGGGAAGAGCTCCTTGAGCTTCCGTTGGCTCTCCTCCACAAACTGCTGATTGGACAGGGGGAGCTGCAGGACGTCTACTATGGTCTGTGCCGCATCTAAGGCCCTTTTGCCCATCACCAAAGACTTCACCTGCCAGCTGTACTTCTTCTTATAACGGCCACATATTTCCTCAAACACCACGGAATATAGCCTTTCGGTATCCAGAAGGAGGCCATCCATGTCAAAGATGACATGGGTGACCGGCCGCAGTGGGAACACGGCCGTGGTCGCCGCCATTGCGGTTCGGAGATAGCTGGGGTGGGGGAGGGGAAGAGGCGCCCCTTGTACAATTTTTTTTTCTTTGTTTTTCCTTTTCAATACTGGGTTTTTATTATTCTAACTTATTTGCATTTCTACGTGAGTTTTTAAAATTGATTATACAAGCTGGAATGTTAATATATGTTGCTGTTACAGATTGATTTAGGATCAGCCAATTTAACTATTTGGAGTTCTTTTTTTAATGATGATAGTTTATGTCTCCATTTACATAATGTTTTTATTTCTTTCAGCAAGGTTCTTGAAGTTTTGCTCATAGTTGGTACACATTTTGTGTGATATTTAGTAGCTTCTATAAATTTCACAGGATTTATTGCATTAATCGGTTTTTGGAAAAGATGGGCCATTTTTAACTTGTTCTTCTAATCTACCAGATGTGTTTAAGAATACCTTTGTGCCTGACTGGATACGACTTCCACTGCAATGATCAGCATCATTGGCTGCTGGGGGCGTTGCTAGGAGAAAGCACTGGTGTTGCATCATTAGCTATGGCGTTAGTTGTACATCTGCTTTATTCTGCTGTATTCTGTAATTCTGGCGAGGGAAACTCTTCTCTGGTTTATTCTGCTATGTTATCAGAATAATGAATTTCATCATTTAAAAAATATTTGGCTGATCATACTTTTTTTAAGCAGTGTTGAAAGCTTACTATATTATTTTGTATAGCCCTTGTGCATGTATAAAGTAATTTAAAGGTTGCTTTTTTTTTTAAATGAAGCTTTTTAAGCAGGAGGATCTATCTCATATATGAGTTTAGCATTTTGGAACACAAGAGTCAAATAGAACTAACCCAGAAAAGTCTGGCATTTCTTGATTCTCAGTCATAGACCTGGCAATTTCTTTGAGTTTGATTCTAACAGCAATGCTGTTCATTTTTTCTTTTTAAATCTATCACTAACTCCTGAATATACAAACATCACATATTTGTGCTACTTCTACCCTTTCTAGAGTATCTTTTTTTCTTCTTCCCCAGGCTACTGTGCTGGGCCTCTTCAGTGACTTTTTAAACTCTAGTATATTTTGATTCTGAAAAACACTCAGTATAATTATTTCAGTCATAATTTTGAAAGTCCTGTAAATGAAAAGCTGGTCTTCATTTCCCGATTGATTTATTCCTTATGAAATTTTAGTATTTATTATGTTTTCTAGGCATTTTTGGAAAATACTAAATATGTCATTCTTATATATGTATGTGATACAGAGATTAGAACTTGAAGCTAGATTCTCAAACTTTAGACTAATCACATAGTTCGTTAACCACATTGGCTCAATTAGAATTGAGGATAAGAAAACATACTTCAGAATTGTGTTAAACAAGGAGTCTCATTCTGAACTTGGGTTTCTTATATCAGGGTCTAAGTAGGTGTTATATAAAACCTTTAGATAGTGTTCATAAATATCATGGAAAGAAATATTCAAAAATTAGACAGAATGTGACAGTCCAGAATGACTTACAAGGATTTATGACTGCTTCCCTGAAGGACTTTTTTAGGCTATTCCATGTTTGGGACAGATTTCCTAAAACAATGCTGTTAAAATGCCTACCTGTCTTTGAGAATCTGGAGAAGGGCCAAGCATCCATTTTTATACTGCTGGAACTAATGCCATACTTTACAAAGTGGGTCACAGCGCACTCCTGAGATGTCTTCAGAAATGCTGTGGGTTTTGACTGAGGTGATTGGAGCTTTCTGTTTTGTTTTGTTTTACTTTTTTTTTTTTACCAGCTATCTTCAGTAGTCCCTTGCAAAACTTCATTTAGACCGTTGCATAGCGCCTCCTCACTCCTGGGAGCCTGTCTGTCTCCAGTGCAGGGTCTGTTCTATTTAACTCCCCTTTCTCCCCTTTGAATGTCATACATCTCATTCCATATTCATTTCTACAGGCAATATGGAAATTGTGCTTCTTCTTTTTTTTTTTTTTGGTCATGATGTACTGTGGACAGAAATGTGTATATTGAAACTGACCCCATATATGATGGTAGTTGAAGATGGGGACTTTGGGAGATAATTAGGATTAGAAGAGGTCAAGAAGGTGGGACCCTCCTAACGGGATTGGTTTCCTTCCAAGTAGAGTCATCAGCGTGCCTGCTGTCTGTCTGTGGACCATGGTTAAGAAAGCAGCCACCTGCAAGCTAGACCAGTGCCCTCACTAGAGCTTGTTGTGATTCTCTCACCTTAACCTCCAGAACTTTGCGCAGATAAATCTATGATGTGTCAGTCTCCAATTCGATGAGCTGTTGTTACAGATACAGTATTTGGAGTGTTTTACCTGCCATCTTACAAGAATTGAATCTCTATACCCTTAAAAACTACAACTGTTGCACAGGCTATTTTTAAGTATGTAAGTGTAGTTTGGCAGTACGTGTTTCCTAGATGATAAGAAGGTAACATTTAGTCAGATGTTTGTGAATGAAACTCTTACCAAGTTGGAAATGCAAGATTATACTAGATTCCATAATCTGACTTAACATCAATTTATAGATGAGTGAATTGCAGTCATTTGTAAAAGATCTCTTGGATTCGTTGAGGTGGAAGTCTGACTCCCTCTCTGCTTGTTTTCTGCTCACTAGGATCTCTGAGTGTAGCCGTCTGCTGCATCAGGCTCATCCCCAAGGAGAGGATCTTCGTCTCTGACGTGAGGAGGTAACTTTGCTTTGCTTTGTCAGAGTGTCCTGTGCATACTTGCTGCTAATATCTAAGACACGAGGATTTGTCTATTTCACTATGCCCTGGTCCAGTTGATTGGACCAGGTCCGTCACGGTGATTGGGTCCCTGACAAGGAAGTGTTTGTGAATCTTTGCATTCCTGATCCATCCACCACTTTTATTTAAGAATTGCATTACAAATATTTGTTCTCATTACACAGACAACTTGTGCAGAGCCTGCCTAAGCTGTCTTTCACTCTTGTTAGTTTGAAAGGGCAGCCTTCATGGACAGAACTGAAAAAGGGAGGATTCTATGAAACTGACAATCTTATACTTAGTAAAAATGGTTTGCTGTGAGTTACACATTTGTACACATAGTTGGTACAAAGCCTAAATAGACAATGGAAATTCCAACATAATGGAAATATCTTACTGAAACTTTAGGCCTTCTTAATGGACACATTTCATTAACTAATAACTGTGGAGTCACATCCAGCAAGGTAAGTTGGGGTGACAAATGCCAGGCTGGGCACCTGTTGAGAAGAGGCTCCAGGAAGGAGATGAAGGGCCCCTCACCCAACATGCATGCTGCGCCCAGTGCCTCCTTGCAAGGTTTTCCGTGCCTTCCGAGCAACATCTGTGCTATGTCTAGCCAGCTTGCCAAGGGCAGACAGGGCTCCTCATCAACTCCTCACTTCAGTAGTGCTTTCACCAATGCGCAGTGTTGGCTTTCCTTGAACTCTCTTCTTACAGACATGACCTAAGTCTGAGTTGCTTTTGAACTGTTGTTTTGCTGAGTATATGAAACTGTATCCCTGGAAATAAACTTTGTTAGCTTATTATTAAGCCCAAGAGAGCACTGTCACCCCACTTCTGTCTGATTGCATTTCCTCCTCTGGAAACCACAAGATAAACTTGGAAATAAAAACACCAACTGAAATAGATGCCTTGGTACTTCTTATCAACCATATTTAAAAAGCCCCCAGCCATTCTTAAGAACTTGAAATAATCTCTTATGTTTACTTGTAAACCAAAGCCTTTCATTGAGCAGTGCTGTTCCCTGTTGGATCAACACTGACGATTGGTCATGTGTAGGACTTTAGTTCCTGTGTAAGTTTTCCTTACATCATGAGGATGGCAACAATAGGGAAGCGTTGCCTAGATGCCTTTACGTCTTTTTCTTGATTTACTGTAATTTATTTTGTCATACCCGATAAAAGGCAAAGACCTGTACAGAGCTGTAGCGCCCACAGAGATAGGAGGAGAAAGTTCTTTCCCTAGAATTACTGTGAAAAAAAGTGTAACAAATCCAAACAATACATTTTAAGGTGTCACTGAGTTATCAGGTCATAATCTGTACAAATCTATGCAAACATCCACGCACCATAGTGTATCTTGAATTGCCATCACTGTTAAGCACATTAACACCCTAAATTTGGTGTTCAAAAAAAAAATCAAAATAATTAAAACAGGTAGAACCCAAGAAGCACACTTGTACCTTCAACAGCTGTTTGCTTACACATGCAAATCAGGTCTCACAAATGGTCTTCCCTCGTTGCCTAGACTTGTGTAATATTTGCAGCCAGGAATATTTTTAAGCATTGAAAGCATGAAGCTCATGGTTGGTTTTTAATCAAGGCTCTGGTTAAGCATCTGGCATCGTTTTGTTATTTCGCAAAGTTTAATTAGGCGTATGCTTTTCTGTGATTTTTAAGATCAATACATTATCCCCCCAAAATGAAGAACACCAAGTTTGGAATAATGCTACCTTTCACGTGCAGTGTAATTTCATTCTTCGTCTGTTGCTCTGTTGAGTCAGGGAGAGTTGCGTAATTGCAATATGATTTTCTACAGAATTTCATCTTGTCAAACAACGGAAAAAGTTTGGGCTCACAAATGAAAGTCATTTTATTCTTGGTTCTTCATTTATTCTTTAGAAACCCTTCAGCAGCTATCTTTTCCATTTATAGCCCAAAATGCCAATTAAGTGAGAATGTTGTCTGTCACATGAGCATTGTTTTGATTTTTCTGAAAATGAAAGCATCATGCTAGGCTTTAAATACATCTCTAATATTTGTAATCTGTTTTTACATATGCTTACAGATAATTTAATACTTTTATATGATTTCCATTTCATTTTATTTAAAAATGTACAAAATGAGAACTTTACATTTTATCACAGTAATAACAAACATTGATAATTAGGACTGTATTTTTAATATGTATTCCATCGTGGCACACAGTTGATGCTTTGATCAAGATGCTGTTTAGGATATCCACACTGCATATCAGTCTGGCTGGCCTAAAATCCTGACT